ACATAATATATAATATTTATTTTAGCGATCGATTAAGAAATTTTTTTTGTCTTCCGATGTTTAGTAATGAATAAGAAAGCCATTAAAATTTAAAGGTTTAAATTAAAGAGAAGGTTTCTTTAAGAAATCACGTACAATAAGAGCCCTTTTTAGGATTTTTTTTTTAAATAAAAGAGCCTTTTTGGGGATTTGTTTTAAATAATAATAAGTCTTAGAAAAAATATTAATTATACTATATATATATATATATTTTGACATCTTTAAACATTTCGTTCTTAAAAATTGAGAATTAAAAAAAATTTCTACGCAAAATTGAAACTACTTATTTTGTGAAGTTATTTTTGAAACCAATCGGTCGAAAATAAAATTGTTCTAGTTATGGACGCCGCCAGTTGAAGAAAAATGATTTTGAGAAAAATGCGCATTTAAAGTTTTAGTACCGACTATTTATCAATTGAATTTATTAGTTTACCATATATTTCCGGTGAAACAAACATGATAGACTACATGGTCAATGAAATACAGAATTTTTATAGTCTAAATACATGCAGGGCTCAATTAGTCTAAAGATTTTAAGGCAACGAGTGTGCAGTATCATTATACTTATACAATTCAAGAAATACTTTGAATTTTATTAAAATCTTTTAGCGTATTTTAGAGCGTATTTTTAAGATATCAATTTTTCAAAAAATGTAAAAAAATTGATTTTTTTGAAAATTTTACTATAATATACTCTCTTAAAAAGTGATGATTATATGGTTGATTTTTAAATAATAAATTTTCTTTCGACTCTTATTTAAAGGGAAAAACTATTTATTTAAAATATTCGAACCTAAAATTAATGAGAGATTTGAAATTCTTGAAAAATAATAAGAACATAATTATAAGAACTATGAAATTCCTGGAAATAAAGTCCATCTTACAACCGTTTTGATGAATATATTAGAAAAAAATTAAAAAGAGAGAGTATTTCTAAGATAGCTTAATCATTTCTAAGTTTTCTAAAAAGTTATCTAAGTTTCTTAAAGCTAAAATATGCAAAATTCTTTTCTGTATAAAAAAAATTTACAAAAAAAGAAAAATCTATCCTTTTTTTTAATATATCTACATTTCTGAAGAAATTTATTATAATTCACTTTGTGTGTCATTTGTTTATCTTGTTGTTTATTTTTAATGTCGTAAGTCATATTACGTATTGAAATTTATATTTTGATAGCATAACAGCAATACTTGTCAAGCCTATTACAGAATTATTTCTAGTTTGAATTCGCGTGTAAATTTGAAAAATTGAGTAAATCTAAA